CTTTGCCTAAACTTCACAGTTAGTCAAGATTCAAAGCTAAAATGAAATGTTTGTCCAATCTGTGCTAAAACAAAAGCAAAACCAAAATCCTAGATCGCATTGCTGCTCAAAAGAAATGCATTCAGAAGCTGAGGCGAGTGCAGCTGGAAGGATGTTTGGCAGACTTGGCCTGAGGAACCACTTCTGCTGTTTGTGAAAACAACACAGGGGTGGGGGTAGGGGAGGGGGGGATGGGGTGTGTGTGTGACCGGATTGCAGGAGGTGGAAGCCAGAGGAGCAGAGAAAGTCTGAGGCTGTGGGTGCAGGCCACTTCCTTAAACATCTGAGAGCAAAACATCATAGTAAGTGATCAATAACCATTTAATATTGACTTTTTCTTAATGCTTTTTTTAAAAAAAAAAATAATATCCAGAAAACAGGTCAGGTAATGGTCCCAACAAGGAAAGTGCTCATTCTCTAAAATGTTAGGTTTAAAAGTTACAATTTCTCAATTGTTGGTTTTTAAATCTCTCCCATATACTGGGTAATTCTCAAGAGGTTTTTTTTGTTGTTTTTTGTTTGTTTGTTTGTTTGTTTTTTTAATCAATGAACTGAAGTAGTGCTTCATTTCCCAGCACATACTCTGTTGGACCCTGTTGTCACGGCCTCCTGTGAACAACGAGCACAGACAACAAACAGCATCTTGGTGCAAGGTGCTAGTGTATTTTTGAGAGAACCTTTGCATTTCCTATGATGCCTGATATCAGAAACAGATTGAATAGAAATAGTTTAAAGTGAAGATAAAAAAGAAGGCATTAGTGAATTTGCTTCGGGGGGAAATTTTTCCTATTGATTTTGGGGGAGGGTTTCCTGCTGACATTCCCAGAGTTCACAGAATTGCCCATAATTTGCTATTAGTACTGACGATGCCGCCGAAGATGCTGCTGCTGCTGAATATTTTATAAGCGGGAGGAAGATGTCAGGTCTCCGTTTGGAGGGCTGCCAGGTCTAAATCTCTCACCTTGATGTTGTAGCTCCTCTCCACTTCTACTTTTTCAGCTGCTTGAGCATATCTCCATCTGAACGTCCCATTATTAACTTAATTCAACAAGTTCACACTCAAACTCAGTCTTTTTTTTTTAAATATATTTTATTGATATTTTACAGAGAGGAAGGGAGAGGGATAGTCAGAAGCATCGATCAGCCGCCTCCTGCACACCTCCCACTGGGGATGTGCCCGCAACCAAGGTACATGCCCTTGGCCAGAATCGAACCCGGGACCTTTCAGTCCACAGGCCGACGCTCTATCCACTGAGTCAAACCGGTTAGGGCTCAAACTCAGTCTTTCAGTCCTCAACTCTTCTTGTTGACCCCCTTCATTTTGCTAATAGGACCATTGATCTAGTTGCCCAGACTCAAACATAGAACTGCTATCAAAGGAGCCACTTTGATGAGGGATTCCTATCAGGCACTGTACTGCTAAGAGCTTAGAAGCATGAATTTTCACTTGTGTTTAGTAAGCAGAGGCTGTACCCCCACAGGCCCGTCGTAGCCCTCCCTTTGAGTAAGTGTTCTGTCTCCTGGGACTGGGCTGACTCTAAATCCCTGTGAGGTAGGTACCAGCATTATCATTACCTTAAGATGGAGAAGTTGTGGCTAAGTGAGGCTGGTAATTTGTTTAAGGTTACTTAACTAGTGACTGGGGCAGCAGGACTCAGACTTGAGACTGCAAACACCCAGAGCTCTACACCTTCAACCGCCTGTCCTGTTCCCTTAAAGTCACCTCTGAGCACCCTTCCCTTGTGCCTGATTGTGAAGACTGTGTCCCTACAGTGTTCGTGCAACTGCCCTGTTTTCCATTTCAATGTCACCACTCAGTTCAGCCTCTCATTGCCTCCCACTAGGACCTAGGTGGTCTTTCTGCTCTCTGCTGGTGGGTTTCTCTGAAGGAATCGCTTCATGACTACCATTAGCTGAACGAAAAGCCTTCGATGACTACCCGGGGTCAGAGCGTTGCTTTCTAACCCAGACATTCAGCTTACCACCCACGAGCCCTTCCCATCTTAGTTCTGACCACTTATCTTTATAAACACTATTTTTTACCTAGGCTGGACTTTTTCCTGTACTCAGATCTCCTCCGTCTGTTGAAATCTACTTCATGGTCTAGGTAAGTGCTACCTCCTTCATGAATCTTTTCCTGATTCCCTTATTACAATAAAGATATTCTGGAATTTTCTTATAAAGTCATATTCTAGCCTGAACTGTGGTCACTTGTGTACTCATCATCCCGATAGGATGCTGGTCCCTCGGGTTAAATGGTGTGATACTAGTGTCTTTGTGGTTGGTAGTTAGGAAGTATAGTGCCTTCCTATGATTCTTACTCAGAAAGTTCAGATGGACTAAATTTTATTGTTAGGTGCTGTCAGGATGTGTGGTCCATGTATTCAAGATCTTGTCAGTGTAGTAAGGGAAACAAAACTGTTGTTCAAAAAGCAGCTAGAGGATAATCAGGAGCTCCACTGTGAGAGCGATGAGAGGAGAATTGGAGGAAAATAATGGATGGAGAAGGATTTAGAGAAAAGGTGAGACCTGCATTTAATGCTGAAAAGTGAAGAAAGTTGCTGTAAGTGGAAGGGAAAGGCATAAGCAAAGGTAGAGATGGGTGTGGCGGAAGGATGGCACCTTAGGGACAACTATTGAGAAGGAAAAGTACCAGGGAAATTCAGGATGTTTCAGAGTCAAACCATTCCCTCAAATTTACAGTGACATTTCTTTTTAAAAAAATGTTTAATTTTTAAATTGATATATAATTGACATAATATCATGTAAGTTTCAGGTGTATGACATGTTGATTTGACACATTTATATATTGCAATGTGCTTACCACCATGGTGTTAGCTAACACATCCATCAAAATTTCTGACCACAAGGCTTTTTGTGATAACCAGCATTCTTCCCAGTTAGTCACAAGCAGTGAGTTTTTACTATATTTTTATAAGACTAGATAATTGCTAAAATTCATCATTGATGACCTGAATTACATACAGTAAATGGCAATATACTGGCAAACTGCTTCCTTTTTGCTTTTTAACAGCCATCATGTTTGTTGTTTATTTTTTTTTAATTGATTTCAGAGAAGAAGGGAGAGGGAGAGAGAAATAGAAACATCAATGATGAGAGAGAATCATTTCTTGGCTGCCGCCTGCCTGCCCCACACTGGAGATGGAACCAGCAACCTAAGCACGTGCCCCAACCAGGAATCGAACCATGACCTCCTGGTTCATAGGTCGACACTCAACCACTGAGCCATGCTGGCTGGGCACATAATGTTTTAAGGTTTGATTCCTAACACAGTCTGGGACAGATGGTAAGAAAATCTCATGGATGAAATTTTAGAACTACAAAAAAAAAAAGCGCCATTTTTATAATGGACTTTCTACATACTAAATAATTTCCTTCATTCTTATTTAGTCATGCAAAATTGCTCTATGATTGTTCCTGCTATTGTTCCAACAGGAGAGATGTTCTCAAATGTGTAATGAAAATATGAAGCTAATTTACTTACTGTTTTTATGATATAATCCAGATTCAAAACTGGTCTATGGAGATGGACAAATACTGGTTGTGATAAATTATTACACAGACATTTTCCCTCTAAGGCACTAACAGAAAAAATAACAAAAATCGACTAGTTCATTTTGAAAAGCTACCTCCAAAGCCAGAGAAGGCAAGAGATTTTAAAAGTAAATGTGTTTTGGGTGAAAAATGAGACATCGATACATTTTAAAACTATAAAGAACTGACTGTTTTCCCATTTGTTAAATTCTTTTTGGTATGAATTACACATCATTTTTTCCTTAGGATTACCGTGTTGCTAATTTTCTCCATATGTGTACAATTTGTCTTTGACCTTTAACTAATGTCCTCTGGGCAGTCCACTTACCATCCGAGAACAATGCCACAGCATCATTTTACACGCTGAAAGCTCCATAAAAACAAATGATCCATGGTACAAACTACATTAACCAGCAGAATAAGAAGCTATTTCAGCCCTATAAATTTTAGTGCCATCCATTGAAAACCACACTGGGTCACTTCTAAATTCATAAGAACAAAATAGTAAATACACATGCCTTATGTGTTAGCCTGCCGGCGATATATTTTGTGGGAAAGTTTGTTAGCTTAGGAAAACCTACTCAAAGGCACAGCGAGCAGTGTATACTTAAAAGCAGCGTCTCTTTCGAATACATGATTTTATGTATTACAAATACATTTACTATTAAGCATCATGCATATTTAATATCACAGCGATTACTTCAGTGCCTGAAAAAGGCTTTATTCACTTTATGGTTTCCATTATTGAAGAGCCAACATTGAGTTCTCCCACAATGCTGTGAAGTGCAGGCAGCCCACAAGAGCTTCTAGTTTTATCTAGCAGCCCCGCGGGACTACGATAATTGTTATGAAATCATTAATTCTACCTCAGCAGTTTCAACTGTCAGGTACATGTAACAATAATTGCAGTTAATGAATGCTGCTCAATTTATTAAGTAGAAAATGAAAGCCAGTATTCTTTTATATGCAGCACTGAGACACATTAACATTAGTCATTTGTGTACACCATGTTGAATATCCTACTGTCATTTATTGGTCAGGGTATGTAGCCATGTATTTCTTTTTAAAACTTCTCTTCCTTAAAAAACAATGCAGAAAATTCCAACTCTTTAATTGAAGAGTAATTAAAATAATTAGTACCAAAAGCAATATTTAATAAGACTCTATGTCTATGAAAAAAATCCAGCAGAACCAAGACTTAGTTCCTTCTTGAGATAAACAAGATTCTTTCTTGTGCCACCCTCCCCGCCCCCAACCTTTAAAAGAGTATAAAAAATTCCCAAATCTTCCAGTTGTTGAAGTATTAATATTTCCTTCTCAAACCTTTTGTCAGTAAAACTTTTGTGTACTTAGATACAGCCTATTTCTTGATTTAAAAGAAGTAATACTAGATTTCCTATTTTCAGTCACTCAAAGTAAACGGCATAGACATTTGCAAGAGCAAAGAGTGAAGAGTTTCTGAAAACATAAGATGCAAAGGTATCACTTTTAGGATTCCAGAGGCATCTACTCCCAATAAGTATGCTCTGGCCATGCCGAGGTCCAATGTGAACAATCACAATCAGCTTGTACCGTGGGATCATCAAGTCCTTGACCTGGGCTTTAATCACCTAGAATTTAAAAGGGAAAAATACAAAAAATGGTTCTCACTTAGCCACATTGAAACTTGAGTATTGTCCTTTGTCATAAATATAATGGATTTAATTTAAGAAAATAGCATGATCCATTGTAGATACTGTCACTAATTGTTGTAGAGCCATAACTATGATTTGCTTCAAGCACTGTCCTCATGAGAAAGGACATTTAGGGACAAAGTGACAGCACCAGCAATAAATGTACATTTTTCTCAGGCACATGAAAAAAAACTGTAATCCAGAAAACAGAATTTAATAGAGTTATTATATTCTTTGGAAAATTTATGTTAAGATGGCTTTCCTTCAAAGAATGTTGGCATTAGAGTTACATCATCTTGTTCATGTCTAATGAAGAGACCATAGGTCTGGAGTCTCCTCCAATATGACTAATCATAAATGCTCATTAAAGACTTCGTTATAAAAGAGCAAACAGAGGAAATCTGATAGAGTGCCAGCACTGCAGTCGATAAAAATAGAAATGAATGTGCTTAAATGAATTTAAAGGCCACAGTGTCTGTGTTTGATGGCCATCAAAGCTGCCTTGGGGAAGAGAAATGATCATTAAAATTTTTATCTTTCACAATAATTTAAAAAAATAAATGGGGCAGTTTTATACATTTTTTAAATGAAATACATGCAAATGATGCACGTAATGATTGTTTTAGACAAAGGCTCTCACACAGAGATAGAATATGACCTAATAAATATTTTAATAAAATAAAATATAAATAAGCATTTGTACTGCTACTGCAAATTAATTGCCTTCTTCAAAAAGTAGGGGGTTGTACTCTCTGCAAATATTCTAGTTACAGTTAACTCTTTAGGCAAATCACACATTACCTCAGAAATTGTCTTAGCCATCTGTCTACAGAGCTCTGGATCATATTGTTCTTCTTGTAGGTAGGTAGTTAACACATCTTTCAGAATATGATTGACGGTAACCACGGGAAAATGCTTGGTAGGACCTGAAAATACGACAAAATTTCTTCCTAAGAAGTCATTTTATTTATTTGTTTATATGTATGTATGTATTTATGTATTTATTGTTTTTAAGAATAGTTTATTGACTTTTTAGAGACAGAGGAAAGGAGAAGAGAGAAATATCAATATGTGAGCTTAACATCTATCAGCTGTCTCCTGCACTCCCCCTACTGGGGATCTAGCCAGCAACCTGGGCATGTGCCCTGACCACAATTGAACCGGCAACCATTGGGTGCATGGAAGGATGCCCAACCAACTGAGCCACACTGGCCTGGGCTAAGAAGTCATTTTATATCATACCCGCCCACCTCACAGGCTAATTAAGAGTACAGAACCATGGAGAGACATTTAATCTTCTGTGTGGCCTTCATTAAAGAAAAAATGGTAGTCTTAGGTTTCCAGTCAAGTTCTCTGGCAGAGAATAAGACAGTAGACTCATCCATTTGCCAGACAACCTAACGAGTGTGTTCAACCATCGAGGTTTGACACTGAAAAATATCCCCATTCCCAGTTCCCACTATTAATGACCTACGTCCAAGTCTCAACACAACACCTCTCTCCTGCTTCTGTCTACCTACCACACGGCAACTGGATGGGTCGTTCTAAATCCAAGATCTTTTTTTTTTTGCTGTTTACTATGTTCTCAGGGCCATTCTTTTTTTAAACCTCTATTGTTGAAAGTGTTACATATGTCCCCTTCCACCTCCCCATTGACCTCTTCCAACCCATATGAATTCATTGGTTAATCTCTTCCCCTCCCCCCCCACCTTCCCTCTGAGGTTTGACAGTTTGCTAGATGTTTCTATGTCTCTAGGTCTTAAGTCCCAGATCTTACCATGGTATTTCCCTTAGCAAGGTCTAACATTCAGCTCCCACCCTACCTGTAGCTTCTTCTTCCAACATCACAGGCTCTGCACGATCCTGCATCTGTCTTATAAAGCTGCTTGTACATTGTCTCTTGCTCTCTCTCGCGCGCGCTCTCTCTCGCTCTCTCTCTAGAACATCCTTTCCCATCATGTTCATCGAGAAATATCCACTAATGTGTTTCAAGGCCAGTTCAAAAATCTTCTCCAGGTGGCCTTCTTGCTCTCTTCCAATAAAAACCATCCCTCCCTTCTCTGCACTCCCAATGCACTGGGCCCCCACCACTATCTTGGCTCCTAGTCTACCTAACAGCTAAGGCACACCTGCCGTTCTCCCCAGTGAAATGAGAAGGTCGGCCAGAGTTTTATCCTCTTCAGAGTTGAATACAATGCTAATGGCATAAGAAATATTTAATTTATGATTTCTGAAATAAGACAGAATCAAACATTTAGAGCTAATAATCATGGTACAGATCATGGCTACTTTTACTGAGCATTTTCTACATGTCAGGCACTATGGTAAGAATGTCATATCTGTTACCTTATATAAACTTCCAGTAATCTCTGGCGTGAATCTTACTGTTATCTCCCTCTCACAGATGTGAAACAGAGGTTTAAATGCATTGTGTAAGTTGCCCGGAATCACACAGTGGCAGAGCTGGGATGTCCCATGTCTATCTGACTCAGGAGCTCATATTCTTAAACACAGTTAGTTCATGTTCAGATAAGGAGCTTCAGATGGGTCTTCTTTACCTGGCACTCCAGGAATCTTGCCTGTACCTCCTGGGAGTATTAACCTCATCGTCTTTCTGTCACTGTACAATGTGTACCATGTGCCCAGGGCCTGGGGTACAGGGGTTTGATCATTATTTGCTGAATTGATATGGATAAATGGATGAGATGAAGAATTATATCCAATTCTATTTGAATATTCATCAGTATCTTTTCAGAGTTTATTTTTAATGACTGTATCGGTCAGGGCCCAAGGGAACACACGACACACTAAAGTTAAGACAATTCCAGGAGGACTTAACAAAGAGACTCCTTTGAGAGGTCTGAGCAGGATGTAGGAAATCTCAAGGAAACTGCCCCTAGGTTAGTGAAAGTGAAGGTGTTACCCTCATCCTACCCGAGGCTTGAGGGATATGAGAAAGGAACTCTTCCTAGATCCTAGAAGAGGCACGTGGAGCAGGCTCCCTGGAGAGCAGTTATGTCCTTCTGTTGATGGATACAAACAGCCTGAGATGAACCCACAGGCAGAGTGGAGGGAAAAATACCCAGCTCACAGCCCTTCCACCCTGCGGCTTCCGACGGAACTTTCCCATTGGCTGAACTGAACCAGAAGGTTACAGCCCATGCTTGTAGCAGAGTTAGGTCACCCTCCTGAGGCTCAATAAATAGTATTTTCATTTTGATGATTGTATAGGAATTGTTCAATTAAATTTATATTCGTGTGGGAAATGCATCTGAACATGTAAAACAGGGACACCTGATACAATGAGTGTGATAATTAACCCTAATAGTTAGCCAGCAGGAATCTCTGTTCTACAAGACAGAGATAAGCAGTTATAAACCTGTGAAAGGTTGGTCTCGGTTACTCCTGCTTTATGGGCCTGTAGGCAAGCTCCTGGTACCATAGACCTCAGTGTCCCTTTCTGTGGATCTTTTCGATTTCTACTCATATATTCTAGTGAAATGAGGCTAAATTTGAGGTTGATTTTCCCCTTTCTATTTAAGAAAATTTAAAATGAACTGCCAGCTTAGACTAAATTAAGTAGATTACATCCTTTAGATCCATACCTCTCTCTTTCTCACTCCCTCTTATGAAGCACTCATATCACACATACCTTACGTTTGACCTACATCACCCACATGACACTTAATTTAGTCATGTGCTATGATGACCATATGCATGGCTCCCTTCAGAAAGTAGTAAACTCCTTCAGTGCAGAAGCCTGTCTGCCTAGTACACCTCCCTGCCATTGGGAACAGCGTCTCCCTTTCCAGGAACTGGTCCTCTTCCTACACTGACCACGTGGCTCTTTAGGATCTCCCAGGGCCTCCTTTGAGCCCAAGGCCAGGTCATGGTTGACTGGCCCAGAGGAAACACTTGCCCCAAGCCAGGCCAATTGGAGTCCTTTCTTGGGATTTTTAGTTCAAACTTGACGGGGAGTAGGAGAGGATCAGGCTCTTTCTGTGGCGAAGTTATGCTGTGTGATCCTAAGGAGCTGCTGGGGGCCAGCTTCTCACAGTGGGAAGGAATCCAGACACGGGGAGAGGAGGAGCCCACACAGTTTGGTGCTAGAGAGACAGACGTCTGGGGGCACTTGAGCCTGTTTCCAGTAGCTCCTGTTGGCCAGATGGACCGATGTCTTTTCTGCACTTTGGTTACTTTTTAAAAAGATCTCATTAACCAGATTCTATTGTGAAACAGAATGAGCTTTTCTCACTCCTTTGTGACGTCCCCTCTACAGCCACAATCATCATTGCCTTGCTCAGGCGGGGATGCTGAGATGCAAAGGGAAAGCGATTGTCAGTGTTCAGCTGTTGACTTTCAAAATCAGCTCCCCGAAGCTACTTTCAGAGTCAACCAATGTGAATGCCAAAGCTATTTCGTTCTTTCTTTTTTTTTTTTTTTTGAGAACTTTTTTTTTCTTTAGGAGGGAAACATTTTTTTTAGAAAAAAATCAAGGACCTGAAGAAGGTCTGATGGATAAAAAACAAAGAAAAAAGGGAAAACTTGTCCATAAAAATACAGAAGAGAAAATAGATAAAAATTTAGTCATTTAATATGTGTGTCTCAGTTTCCCCAAACTGAGATAATAATAATGACCAGATATATTAGGGTTAAATGAGTTGAACTTTTTAAAGTGCTTACAACAGTGCCTGCCACACACACACTCATTAGATATATGTTGTTGTTGTTACTACCTCATTCTGAGGAAGGAAAGGGAGTGCTGGTGCTGAGAAGGCAGCGAGATCAGTGAGGGTGTCAGTAGGGAAGGAGGGAGGCCTCCATGGGGTGGGGTGAAGTCTGAGCTGAGAGACTCATAGGCTGTCCAAGAACGCATCTGATGACAGGGCCTGATCTTCTCACAGAAGGTGAGCCCCAATGATGTCTCTCTCTCCCTCCATCTTAAAAGTCTACTCTCCATTATGTTGGCTTCATTCTCACGCAGGCTGTCTCAATGCGGCAGCAAATATGGCCACCAATGAGTCTCGTCTGACTTGCTGCTCAGTCAGTGTTTGTAAAGAATCAAGTACCTCTTTAATCATTGCTCCAAAAAGGACTGTGGAGAACTCATTCCATAATTAATAGGAAATTTTATTGGATGTCATAGGAGGCTTTTCTTCTCTGTGATCCAAGGTAAAGTCTTAGAGGCAGTCATTTTGAGAAGTAATAACATAATGAGTGGAGAAGCAATGTAAATACATTACTTCATTTAATTCTCATAGTATTCCTCTGATATGTGGACTATTATCCCTATTTATAGATGAAGAAACTGAGATTCGAGGATTTGAAATACCTTGCTTGAACACCATTTATTTAGGATTTGGCAAAACTAGTATTCAGATATATTGGATCCTATAGGCTGTATTTTTTCTATATGCATGTTTCAGTAATTAATTAATGAGCAAATGTAAATGGTGTTTCATTACAAGAAATATAGACATTTTACCATTCCCTTTTTTTTTGTTTCATTAATTTACATTCATGTTTCATCTCACTCTTGGTGGCTGTAATTACTCAGATAAAGGGAGGACAAACATGTTAACCATTTAAGATATGTTTAGGTGATACAAATATTTTTTGATAGAATGTGAAATATTAAACACAATAATGCTGGCGATTGACTGATCTCCCACCCCCCACTAATCTGGTCAGTATTGCCTTTTGTAGATATGAGAAAATCTTTACCAAGGCCCACAGAGTACCTTTTATATGCAAAATAAATCCAGAAATAAATAGAAGTAGAAATATGTTTTTGATTTTTAATAAGATGGCTAGTTGAATGCTTAAAAAATTGCCAAGCACAAAAGACTAATTATAGAAGATTAATTCACACAACATTTTGTAAGAATATGTGGAAAATACTATACATATTAAGGTATTTGGAAAATTTCTTTTCTACCCTCTTTTTTTTTAAATTAAATTTATTGGGGTGATGTAAATTTCAGGTGTGAATTTCTATGTTACAAGATCTGTATATTGCACTGTGTGCCCACCAACCAAAGTAAAATCATCTTTTATTACCATATATTAGCTACTTTTCTAACTTGGTTCAACAGCCAGTACTTCTAAAACTGATAGGACAATTTAGCCCATTTATTTGAAGAAATAAGTCATGAAAATAATATATCCCAGGAAGAAGAAACACAGGGCTTCATATTTCAACTCCTTTATCTTGTTGAAATTGGACTCAAACCCTTTCAGTATGCAGAACCCCAAATCATAGGCACAGAATGGCAAAGATCTTTCAGCTACTAGTGGGTGAAGACCTAACCCAAACTTAGCTTGCCTCGCTAAAAAGCCCAAGAGTACTTTGGACTTAGGATTCAAATGATGATGTTGGGATGTAATTCTCCCTTCTTAGGCTCCATGTGAGGGCAGGAGAGCAAAAGCTGCCATAGCCCCTACATTCTTTCAGGTTTCAGGGCCCGATCTGCTTCTTCAACAGCCAAACATTTTTCTGAATTGAATATCAAGGCTTTGATTGATTTGACCAATCGGAGGGTCTATGCCACCCCAGAATAAGTCACTAGTTCATCTGTGAGGTTAGGATCAGCTTCACCAGAATGTTAGGGACCCAAAGTAGTAATGATGCTCCCCACCCCCCACCCCCGCAAAACTGGGTAAGGTTCTGAGAAGAAGTATAAAAGTGCATTGGATGGCAGGAATATTCGTTGTCTACCACAGCATTATGAAAATACCAGTAGACTGACTAATTATGGAGCCTTGTAATCCACGTAGTCTTGGGGATTACTGTAGAAACCCGGCTCCAAGGCTTAATGGGATGCACGGATGGTCTGTAATTTTCACGAGGTTAACTGGCACAGATGGAACTGCTCCAGCCCATGGGGTCTTTCTTTGGTCACTGGTAAGTCTCTGCGGAATTTCTCTACAGCAGTAATTATATATGGATTCAGATAATAGTGGGCAGGCACGCACTGAGAGAAAACAAGTAGGCCTATAAGGAAACATGAATGGGAAAAGATATTCACTGTGGACTCCACTGGGAGTTTAGGGGCAGGTGCAAAGATCTTTGTTTTCAAAGATCTAAAACCTCAGTGTGAAGGGATAAACATCTCTGTCAACAGGGGACCCAGAATCATTTGCCTTTGCCTTCAAGGCTTTTTTCTCCACCTATCAACAGCATTGGTTGGTTTTGTTAGATAAAACTTGAATGCATAGCTCTTTTATTTCATATTTTATATATACACTTCATTTTAAGTAGATATAAAATAACTCCACAAGGTAATCCCCCCAAATACTCAATGGACTTCTTACTTCAGTAAGACACAATATTCATCAGTGCTGCCCAGTGAACTGCTTGGTGTTTAGCAACCACTGATAAAGAAAAGTGGACCCTCCAGAAGGGTAGGTAAGCGGTTCCGCATGAGCACAAGCAGACTCCCAGATGGGGTGAAGGGATCAAGTCCTGACCTGTCTCCACACAGGTGACCCTTCAAAATTCCAGATTTCTTTAAGATGAGCCTCCCCCAATCCCATTCCTCTCCATTGCCCCAGTCCTACCTCTTCCCGTGGAGGGGAGGGGAGCTGATCAGGACTCATGCAGCCTTAATCAGCTGTGAATCATGGGGGGTTGAGGAGCCTGCTAGGCTCAGCCCCTGGGAGTGAGGGGGCATTCCCTGAGATTCCTTGCTAGGAAAAGCTTGTCCCCTTGTCTTGCCAAGTTGCCCTCTGTCCAGCTATCTACATGGAGCCATACTGCTCCCCAGAGAGAAACCCTGCCCCCTCCCTCTCCCCCACATGAAGAACTGCAGCCTTTGTAGTGCAGAGATGGAGCTGTGGAGAACTCTTTGTAAGCAATTAAAGTTTGGGGTGATGACACTCAGAAAAGAAAAGAAAAGAAAAGGAAAGGAAAGGAAAGGAAAGAAAAGAAAAGAAAAGGAAAGGAAAGGAAAGGAAAGGAAAGGAAAGGAAAGGAAAGGAAAGGAAAGGAAAGGAAAGAGAAGAAAAGAAAGAAAAGAGAAGAGAAGAGGAAAGAAAAGGAAAGAAATTACAGCAGCATCAAATCACTCAGTTAAGATCCAATTACAGCAGCATCAAATCACTCAGTTAAGATCCCTTATATTGTATCTTCAATGGTAATTGAAGATAATGCTGGGTTATCAAATAGTAGTTTAAGTAAATATCACTCACAAAATTAGAAGTTTAACATAGAAGAGAGTGATAAAATAACACACCCAGCTGATAGGTGTTTTCCATCTGAACTGTAAGGCGAGAGGCAACATCGTGCTGGCTAGGTTCATCCATGTACGACACAGTACTCACACAGCTGGAAGCAAGGAAGAAAAGAAATGTCAGTAGTTATTACAACAATAACAACAAAGCACAGTGTTGCTTTCAGCAAAAATATCACACAGGTAAAATTTTCTCTAAAAAGTTTAAGCAAGTGCCAGGTAAATATCCTGGTGACATATTTAAAGCCGAAAACATTTGAGAGATGGAAACTTTAAGGCGTAAGAGGTTACTTGTGATTGTGATTGAATGCAATAGTGAATGAAGCCCAGTGCTGTGCCCAGGCATCTGATTATTAGCAAGTGTTCGTGGTTGGTCTGTCTGTGGGGTTGCCACTCGCATCACCACCACAGGTGCAAAGGCTCTCCTCCAAGTGGACAAAGCTCACAACAGGGGCTGGGGAACATACAGAAAACTTAACACGTTGGGAAACAACTCTATATATACATAGGGGGTTATAAAGAATGCACGATTGTAGGTACCTCACAAATCCCTTTAGTAGAAAAAAAGAAAAGCAAAAAACTCATCTACATGGTGAGAGAAACCACAATTCACCCAAACGATTGTAAATCAATAAGCATCAATCACCCTTTTCAACGTTCAGAAAGGGTTTAGGCTTGGTTACCAAGGCAATATAAGCTTCTCCAGGTGCTGAACAGGAGACCCAATCCGGAGGAGCCCCTAATGTCCCCCAGGCACTACTTAATTCAACTAAAGTCAGAGGAAATCCAACTGCCACTAATGGCAGCCTCAGAGTCTCTGCCCCAATTCTCTCCACCTGTGAAAATGGAGGTTAGCCAGATGTCATTTCAAAGGAGATTATATGATTGTGTGTGTGTGTGTGTGTGTGTGTGTGTTTTCAGAGTGACCACTTTGATAAGCAGGCTGTGTTTTTGCTTTCAATAAAAAAGAGATATTTGTCCTTAATCGTTGGAATTTTTTTCTTTCACGAGGAGTTTAAAATACTTAGTTCTCAGCTATTTGGAATCAGTGAGCTTCTTGCAAAGTGATATTTTAAGAAAATTATGGCTAATCTATTTTTTATAATCCTTTAATACAATACAATTTACACAATAAATTAAGGTTTACCAGGAAGGTGATGCAAGAAATTACGGCTGCTTTTTCACGACGGCTTTCTGGATTAGTGATTTAGTCCCTATTCTTGTAACACCTGCTGTCCTCAATTTGTTGCTCCCTTTGAAGTAGCACGCAACCTGCTTGGCTATGTGGGCTGCAGGTGTTGTGGGCAGTACTGCAGAAGACAGCTTCTGCTTAACGTTGCATAAGCCCCTTGATTCTAAGATAAGCCAGTCTGTCCCAATATAATAAATGCTACTTTTAACTTTTGCAAAACATTTCCTATAATGATCTTATCTTACCTTCACAATGCTCTTTTAAGTAAGTAAAAGAGTCATTATTCTACCCGGTTCAGAGACACAGGGAACAATGCAAAAGGCTTACTTTCCACACATAGGAAAGGCAGATGTATTTCAAATATCCTATACCCCTCAGTGACAAAATCTCACATATGATTGTATCTGACAGAATGAAAAAAGGGGTAATGACTACCTGAAAGATTAGTTACTGCCATTAACACTTACACAAACATAAGAAGGTATAATAAAATCCCTATTTCTTTTCTACTGAATACCATACTAAACACTCATAGAAAGGGAGTAGAGTTGTTACAAAACTCAGATTTGCAAAAGTTACACGTCTAAGACAAGAAAGCAAATAAGGATTTTGACAAACAGTCCTCATTATTGTTTGCAATCACCATGTTACTTACAAATTGATATTCAGTGCAGTTTAATATTTTCAGTACGAAATGGGTATCACAGGGAGCCTAGAAACCCCACTGGCTGAAGACTATGTGCAAATAGGAAGTTTTGCAATGACTTTTTTGATTAATGAAGATGGTTTTGTTAAGGCACCTCTCACCGTCACCAGAGAGGTGTTACGGGACAGCCCTCTGAGTCACTGGGAGAGGGCTGTCCCCAACCTCGATCCTTGTCTTCTCATACAAATGAATTTATAGGAGAGACCTTGACTGCCTTGTGAAAAGCCAATTTATCAAAGCAATTAAAGCATGCACCTTTATTGAAAAAACAGAGCAAGTAAGCAAACCTATACATCTGGCTTATGAAGAGCATACGGGCTCCCAGCTAATCTGAAGAGCACGTTGGGTGAGGGTTTGAGGCAGTATATACCCTCTTGTCTATAGGTTTCAAAATTCCTCTGCTGAATATTTTTGTATAGATTAAGTCTCAAAGTCTTTTTTTTTTTTTTTTTTTTACTTTGTTGTGACCTTCCCAGAATTCATGAGAAGCACCTGCCAACTTTATCTTGCCAAGCCTTGAGACTGCTGGCTTCTCTGCTTAGGGAGTAAAACTTCCCCTTCTTATTTTTCCTTTCCCCCCTTCCTCTCCCCCTTTCTGTATTCTTTCATTAGGGAGGTTTTTAACCATTTGCTCTCAAGTGTCTTGTTAGTTACAAGCTGGCTGCAAATTGCCTACACTCTTTGGCCTTGTTTTAACTTTCCTATCTCAGTTTCCCTATTTCTCCTGCCCCGGAATCTTGTAACAGTTTCATTCAGTGTCTTTTTATTCTCACAGTAATCATATGTATGATCATTGCATAGTCATTGTAAAAAGTTCAAAGCATAGAAAAGTCTAAAGAACAAAGTAAAATTACACAAAAAAGTACTAACCACACTGGTTATCTAACCATTGTTAACATTAAAAGAAATATTTTCAGATGTGATTTTACATATGTGATTACATGATCGATGTTGAGTTGTTTTTTCCCTTCTCAGAAATGTATCATGAATAATTTTCTATGTCAATGAATAGTAATCTACACGAATATTTTAAACACCAAGAGTGTATTTAACATATGAACATACTAAAATTTATTTAACTGTTTATTCTTTAAGTCATTTAGATTGTTTCCATTATTCTAATATTATAAAGAAAATTATAATGATCATAGTGGCAGGGACTGCCCTTTGCTTTCCAATGTTGTTCTTTCTTCCTTGGTCACAGAACCTTAAATTTGTAGGAACGTTTCTCTCTAAATTAAAGACAAATTTTTGGACTTCTTTGGTGCCATGTGGCTTGTGACATTAAGTGAAAGCTTTGGATGGAAATTCTGAAAGTTTTCTTAAAAGAACTAATTCAACCAAGAGGAGCCAGTGTGTGCCCTCCTTGATGACTGGAATATGGGTCTGATGGCGAGAGTTCAGCAGCTATCTTGGGTCTTGAGATGATCTTATGGATTATGGATCAGAAAAAAGAACGTCTAGATCCCTGAACTGCTCCCCTCCATACTTATGTAAGAGAAAAATGTATTTTGGTTTTGTTTAAGCCACTGTTTTAAAAATTATTATTATAAAAATTAGAGCTATAATTGATTCAAATTCTGATACAGAATTTGTTTCTTGGAATTGGGATGCTGCAAGTAATAGAGCACAAAACTTAGAGTTAGTTTTGTAAAGGAGACAGGGCTTTGGGGAGTGAGGTTTCAGATATTTTGCTGGAAATCCGGCATCCCGGATCATGCAGAGGGAAAATATTTAATTAGTCTATCAATTTCTGTACCTTGGATGGCTGACCATTTGTAAACCAAAACTATAACTGCATATACAATTAGAGGGAAATTATACTTAAAATGTTTACGGTATTTTTGGAACTGAAACCTGATAGTTCCAATACTAGAATGAGATGAGTTGAAAAAAGGGAGAGAGAAGAATAAGTTGAACAGAAGAAATAGAAAAAAGAAGGTATTTCTTGAAAAAAGACAAAATATTAAAAATGCTTGTAATCTGAGCAACTGACATTAAACTAGAATATGAACTCAGTAAATTTTTAGAAGTAAAAGAAATCCTATATTTGAAAGTTGGGAATTACCAATATTAATTCAGAATATTGACTTACACAAATATATATTTTTTCTTTTTATTTATTTATTCATTTTTAGAGAGAGAAAGGGTGAGAGAGAGAGAGAAAGAGAGAGAGAGAAGAAACATCAATTTGTTGTTCCACTTATTTATGCATTCATTGGCTGGTCCTTGTATAGCCCTGACTGGGGATCGAACCCACAACCTTGGCATGTCGGGAAAACACTCTAACCAACTGAGCTACTTGGCCAGGAACATACATGTTTTCAATTGATAAACAGCTTTACTCAAGCCCTTGGAAAATTTTATAGATAAAAATGTGAGATGTTTGAAGAGAAAACTTATTTTAATTACTAGTTCTGCATACACAGCACAATACATTTATTGAGTATATGTCACACCATTTCAAGTGGATGAATTTTAGTTGTCTATGACCAGACTTTGCCTAGTGTATCATACTAACTCTTCTAGAGTCATTGCAAAGGGAATGCTGTAGTTGATTTTGTTATTTATTTTTAAATTAAAAATTCTTTTATTGTTGAAAGTATTACATATATCCCCCTTTTCTCCCACTGGCCCCTTCTAACCCTCCTTCCTAGGCCTTCACCACCTGACAATATAGTGATTTTTTTAAAAAATAAGAACTTATTTTTATTTTATTTTTTAAAATACATTTTATTGATTTTTTTTTTTTTTTTTTTTTTTTTTTTTTTTTTTTTTTTATTTACTTACAGAGAGGAAGGAAGAGGGATAGAGTTAGAAACATCGATGAGAGAGAAACATCAATCAGCTGCCTCCTGCACACCCCCTACTGGGGATGTGCCCGCAACCAAGGTACATGCTCTTGACCAGAATCAAACCTGGGACCTTTCAGTCCGCAGGCCGACGCTCTATCCACTGAGCCAGACTGGTTAGGGCGTGATTTTGTTTTTTAAATGTAAAAAATGTTCTTGCTGTTTATGTTTATCATCAGCTTCTTGGCATGAATGGAGAAAAAATTTCAATTGGCAAAATATATACAAGGCAGATGTAAAGTTTTAGAAAGAAAGGTAGATTACTGGTAAATCTTGTGTAAACTGGTGAAAACACTGAAAAACTCAACTAACATTCTAGAGAGAAGAGTAACAATTTGTAATCCA